ATGCAACTCTGAATAACTTACGCATAACCATTTAACAAGAGATGAGATTTGAGAACCAGTCTTTCTCTTCTCCATTTTTAAAAAAATCAATACCCACACTTTTGCAGAAAGAAAGGGTTTTCTTGGTATGCAGACGAAACAGAGAGAGAACCCAGGAAACTAGTCTTCCCCCATTATAGACAAGAAAGATTCAATCTTCCCACCCCCATTACTTATTCCATTTCCTCCTGGAATAAATTGATTCATGGACTGCAGACATTTAAAAAAAAAGAACATTTTTACATCCTTATTTTTATTTCTTGGGTCATATCACCGCTTTCTTGATGTCACTGAAATCGGAACTGGGGATATTTTTATATCTTTTTCCCTTTCTTCTTTGATCGTGGTTTTCACTCTGTGAAAAGACGTAAAAGGATTTTGAGATAAAAAGAGCTCTGAATTTCTGCATGTTAGAGAATTGGTTAAGTTTGAAAGTTAAATAGGTGAAAAGAATGGAAATTTTTACTCGTTTCGCTTTTTTAAAGAATTGCTTTTATCGATTTAGGAAACAATATTCAAATTTTGGGTTTGTCTGCAGACATCCACTGAACTCCTATGATACACATATAAATCCATATAACTTCAATTATTGTTTATTATTATAATTATAACTATATATATATATATATGTAATACCCTGTATTGTGTGCGTCGATTTTTCTTGATTCTTAAAAATATTGTGTGTTTTGTAGTCGTAGTATGTTGGAGGAGAATTTTGACTTGTTACTTTTTATTTACTCTTGATCAGGACATTTCAACAGTTCACATAAATCCTAACATCTAAAACACCAAAGCAAACGGACGAAAGCAAACAGCAGCAACATATTACAGGACAAACACAAGGACATAAAGGGAAGAGCCCAAGAAAACTTTTGCTTTTTTACCGACAGTGAAGATTGCGTGACTCCTTTGTAACAAGATTTCTGATTGGGTAAAATGGGCGTCAAAGATATTTATGATAAAATTATTAACTAGTATTATAAAATAATACTAGTTAATTAAGATTAAGTTTAGGGCGTTATTTTTTAACCTAAGAATTAAAAGCTTATTTAGAGATTAGTAAAAAAAAGTTTATTAAAATGATGCTAGAGAGAATAATTACATATAAATGTATTGCTCTTATTGCCTACAGAAAAAAATAAGACTTTTTAAGTGCCCACTGGCAAGTCGGGTAGACAAGTGTTGGATTGTCTGCTACAAGGAAGATATAAACAAAGCCCTGGTCTCATGCTTTTATTCAATTTATGAAACGGAGATTTTAACCATTTTTCTTTATTTTAGGCCTTTTGCCTTGAGAATAATTCTAAATACGTGAGCTCTAATGGGGAAGGGACAGGATGGTCTTGTCCCTCCTTTGCAAGAGTCTTGGCACCAATTCCTTTCTGTAGATATCGACATGAAACGGGATTCATTCAAAATGTACTTTGTGATGGTGGGAAATTAACTTAACTTTTCGTAGGATATATAAGCTGATTATACCCCTTAAGTTCTGTTAGGGCAGTCAACCTGTGGCCCGCGGGGTTTTCTAAGTGGCCCATTGCTCTGAAAAATCCATTTATTAAGAACAATGTATAAAACATTTAGCGAGAAATTCGTTGTCAAGAAATCAAATACAGTTGAACCTCTATATAACGAATTTGCTAAATTCCCGAAAAAAGTTCGTTATATGGAAAATTCATTATATAGAGGTTCATCTCTTTTAATATACTTTATAAACAACCCAAGACAAATATTTTAAATTCAAAAACACTATATATTAAAAAAAGTAATTAATTCACACCTTTCTTAGATTAATATATGTTTATTTTACATATCTTACCCATCAAAAAAGAGAGAAAGAATGATAAACTGCAAAGAAACAAGAAAAAAGAATGTCGAAGAATTCACTGTATTCTCAATATTAAGAAAATAATTTATACTAAAATTAATGAATTTTAAGGACATTTTATGCAAGCATACAAGTAATATTAAACATACATTATTTTATAATTAAAACACGAGGACATGGGACAACTCCACTGAGGTTGAAAGAGGATATCGAAGATGTTTCTAGTGAATTGGGCAATGAGGGTTAAAGGATGCACTTCTTGGATGAAACGTCTAAGAACTCTATTGCTCTCGGCGAGTTAGGATCTAATAAAACCAGTTCAATATTTATGACCCCCATAAAATGTGTTAAAGAGAGAATAACTTGAAATTTTTTCAGAAGAAAGGGAGAACAAAAATTGAATCACAAAAGAAAAAGTTCGTTTAATAGAAAATGTACTTCGCTATATGGAGGTTATTTTACGAAGAAAGTCGTGAAATGTTCAAGGCTCCAGGAAAAAGTTCGCTATACAGAAAAATTCGCAATATAAAGGTTCATTATATAGATGTTCGACTGTCTATCAATTTTCCTTTTTGCTGTCGAAGTCATACGCGTGCGAATTGATTTTTTCTTTTGATTTGTAACTGTAACGGTTAGTGATAACAGACAACAGAGGAGTAGCGGCTAGTTTATGGGTGGAACTAATTTTTAAGTATCCTTCATGTTTTGCAAGTGAAGCGTATTCGAAGAAAATAGTTTGTTTCAATACAATTCTGAAGTTGACTATTTTGTAGAGAAAAATCAGTAATTGTTTGATTTGTCACGAAAGTGTAATTAAAAAAATATCAGTACACACGAATTGTACTGTAACACTTTTCCTCGAATCTCTTTCAAGAGGTGATAGATAGGCTTTCTTGAATAGTATTTGCAACAGCAACAAAGTGTTTAGTCAGCGGTAACAAAGGTATCCGATTAAATTTGTTATATTATTGGTAATCATACAAAACTGTTTACTGATGCAGAAGTGTGTGTGAGCGTGCGTACGTGTGTGTGTGAAAAATTGTTTCTTATATACTTTCGACATAGTGTTTGATAAAACTTCAATAACAAAAAGTATAAAAAATAATAATTAAAAAAAGCAAAATTGGTGTTTTAAATACTTTGATCAATTTTGCACATTTTAAATTTCTTGCATTTCCTTGGTCAAAGCATTTCTCCCCCCCTCCCTTTATTAATGATCATGTTACGGGCAGCGTGAAATAGCTATCATATGCATGCAGCTCGGCAGGAAAAAAGGTGGAGTATCCCTGTGCTAGTGGCCAGAGGGTGCTCCTGGGAGGAGTGAGGGAAGTACTTGGGGAGTGGATAGTCCTAGAAAGGCCAGCAAAGGGATGAAGGTCACTTCATTTTTCCTAGTTAACATTAATAGGCATGAGCCAAGGCAGACTTCTACCTCAGGGTGTTCTAGTCTATGGACGACAGAAGCTGCATTTTCATCCCTGAACATGTTAACAAATGAGATTTGCCATGCAGAGGAGCAGATAAACGTTAAAGCTGTTGTGGCACAAAGTTGTTCCTTTGGCGTGGGGTGAAAGTTTGAAAAGAGGCTACCAGCTCAGGTGTCGTCCTCGTCACTTGATCATTGTCCAAAATTATGAGGTCCGGCTCTAGTAGCTCTCGTGTTTCTATAAAGCCATTAATAAACACTTTACTCACTCAGTATTCCAATGCTTTAATTTTATCCTGTCTTGAATTCTGGATATTCTAATAACGGTTTGATGTCTGAGAGGTTCGCACCTCTCTCTCAGGCACCTAGATATATGGGAGGTAGGGAAGAAACACTCGACATGACCCATTCAATCTATTTATTCATCACACAATGAAAAGACACAATTTCAACTAATAATAGAAAGAGAATATCTCAACGCTAACCGCGAAAGTGGAACAACGACGGTAAAACGTGAATGATTAGGAGACTATTAAACTTGATCCTTACCTTAGTAAAGGATCTATCTATCATCCGATTTAATCTAATATCAATTCAATCTCAGTTAATAATCGTCACTTTTAAACTTCCTACTGATAATTTCTTAATCACTATAATTCAAATATGATACCTTCAGTATCAATCTCATCTGATTCGAGTATATATCTTCTCCTACTCTCCATTTAAGCTAGAAAATGTCGGTTATATTTATAGTAAGTTAATTTAAATATCACGATTATCTTCTTCCGAAGGGTTGGTTGTGAATAACATGAATTGAGAGCCCAAAGATTTCCCAAGAAGATTAATTAAAGGAACGCGTATATCTCCGTCGCATATGTTGCTTGATAGAATGGAACGATACTTCGAGGATTTTTTTTGTATGAGTCACGAGCCTTTTTTTGAGAGAGACTGTCGGTCTGTTTATTGCTAAAAGAGACCCAGTAACCAGGTACCCATAGAAAAACCACACGTTTCTCTTGTTAGAAAGGATTCCTCTAGATAATGATTACATTGGGAGATTTTCATACATAAGGTGAGACAAGGAACTGATGGCCTGTATTGGAGCATAGTAATCAGGGGGAGGGGGAATGTGTGTGCGCTTATGATCGCACGATAGAAGGGAAAGTTTCTGATTTATTCTGGACTAGAGAATCCACCTGTCCCGATGTATTGCGTCCTTTTTACGACATTTTAGCATGCGGGCATTAAAGTAGTCCTCTTTTTTAAATGCCCATATTTTTTGTAAAGGGTCATGGTTAAATAATTATGCATTCTGATATATATATGAGTATATACGATTTACATGTCAATTAGTCTAACTAATTAAAAATGTATGAATAAATTACTTAAGTGGATTGTATTTATATAATATACTAACGGTCTCGACAGACGTTGTCCTATACACATGTCTTAAATCCGAAAATTACAAACATTTTTGAATAAGTTGTAACACTCTGGACTGTTTTGATGAAATTTTTGAAGTTATACTTCTATTGGGGCGTTAGAGAGAAATAGGATGAGGGTGAATTTTTACGATGCGCGCGCATACCGTCGCGGGTGTGACGCACACCGTCACGGATACGAAAATGCTTTGTCTAGAAATATACAGAACAGGACAGATCATTTCCGCCTTTGAAATTCTCAAAAAAATATTTCTCTTCACTTCCCTGAAGAACAGGACACCCGGGTTTGAACCGGGGACCTCTCGACCTGCAGTCGAATGCTCCAACACTGAACTATACTCCCTCGTCAGCTAACCTTTGCTTTGTGTTCCTTAGGAATGGATACGAAAATGCTTGGTCAAGAAATATACAGAACGGGACAGATCATAGCCGCCTTCGAAACTCTCAAACAATATTTCTCTTCACTTCCTTGAAGAAGAGGACACCCGGGTTTGAACCGGGGACCTCTCGACCTGCAGTCGAATGCTCCAACACTGAACTATACTCCCTCGTCAGCTAACCTTTGCTTTGTGTTCCTTAGGAATGGATACGAAAATGCTTGGTCAAGAAATATACAGAACGGGACAGATCATAGCCGCCTTCAAAACTCTCAAACAATATTTCTCTTCACTTCCTTGAAGAAGAAGACACCCGGGTTTGAACCGGGGACCTCTTGATCTGCAGTCGAATGCTCCAACACTGAACTATACTCCCTCGTCAGCTAACCTTTGCTTTGTGTTCCTTAGGAATGGATACGAAAATGCTTGGTCAAGAAATATATAGAACGGGACAGATCATAGCCGCCTTCAAAACTCTCAAACAATATTTCTCTTCACTTCCTTGAAGAAGAAGACACCCGGGTTTGAACCGGGGACCTCTTGATCTGCAGTCGAATGCTCCAACACTGAACTATACTCCCTCGTCAGCTAACCTTTGCTTTGTGTTCCTTAGGAATGGATACGAAAATGCTTGGTCAAGAAATATACAGAACGGGACAGATCATAGCCGCCTTCGAAACTCTCAAACAATATTTCTCTTCACTTTCTTGAAGAAGAGGACACCCGGGTTTGAACCGGGGACCTCTCGACCTGCAGTCGAATGCTCCAACACTGAACTATACTCCCTCGTCAGCTAACCTTTGCTTTGTGTTCCTTAGGAATGGATACGAAAATGCTTGGTCAAGAAATATATAGAACGGGACAGATCATAGCCGCCTTCAAAACTCTCAAACAATATTTCTCTTCACTTCCTTGAAGAAGAGGACACCCGGGTTTGAACCGGGGACCTCTCGACCTGCAGTCGAATGCTCCAACACTGAACTATACTCCCTCGTCAGCTAACCTTTGCTTTGTGTTCCTTAGGAATGGATACGAAAATGCTTGGTCAAGAAATATACAGAACGGGACAGATCATAGCCGCCTTCGAAACTCTCAAACAATATTTCTCTTCACTTCCTTGAAGAAGAGGACACCCGGGTTTGAACCGGGGACCTCTCGACCTGCAGTCGAATGCTCCAACACTGAACTATACTCCCTCGTCAGCTAACCTTTGCTTTGTGTTCCTTAGGAATGGATACGAAAATGCTTGGTCAAGAAATATACAGAACGGGACAGATCATAGCCGCCTTCAAAACTCTCAAACAATATTTCTCTTCACTTCCTTGAAGAAGAGGACACCGGGTTTGAACCGGGGACCTCTTGATCTGCAGTCGAATGCTCCAACACTGAACTATACTCCCTCGTCAGCTAACCTTTGCTTTGTGTTCCTTAGGAATGGATACGAAAATGCTTGGTCAAGAAATATACAGAACGGGACAGATCATACCCGCCTTCGAAACTCTCAAACAATATTTCTCTTCACTTCCTTGAAGAAGAGGACACCCGGGTTTGAACCGGGGACCTCTCGACCTGCAGTCGAATGCTCCAACACTGAACTATACTCCCTCGTCAGCTAACCTTTGCTTTGTGTTCCTTAGGAATGGATACGAAAATGCTTGGTCAAGAAATATACAGAACGGGACAGATCATACCCGCCTTCGAAACTCTCAAACAATATTTCTCTTCACTTCCTTGAAGAAGAGGACACCCGGGTTTGAACCGGGGACCTCTCGACCTGCAGTCGAATGCTCCAACACTGAACTATACTCCCTCGTCAGCTAACCTTTGCTTTGTGTTCCTTAGGAATGGATACGAAAATGCTTGGTCAAGAAATATACAGAACGGGGCAGATCATAGCCGCCTTCGAAACTCTCAAACAATATTTCTCTTCACTTCCTTGAAGAAGAGGACACCCGGGTTTGAACCGGGGACCTCTCGACCTGCAGTCGAATGCTCCAACACTGAACTATACTCCCTCGTCAGCTAACCTTTGCTTTGTGTTCCTTAGGAATGGATACGAAAATGCTTGGTCAAGAAATATATAGAACGGGACAGATCATAGCCGCCTTCAAAACTCTCAAACAATATTTCTCTTCACTTCCTTGAAGAAGAAGACACCCGGGTTTGAACCGGGGACCTCTCGACCTGCAGTCGAATGCTCCAACACTGAACTATACTCCCTCGTCAGCTAACCTTTGCTTTGTGTTCCTTAGGAATGGATACGAAAATGCTTGGTCAAGAAATATACAGAACGGGACAGATCATAGCCGCCTTCGAAACTCTCAAACAATATTTCTCTTCACTTCCTTGAAGAAGAGGACACCCAGGTTTGAACCATGGACCTCTCGACCTGCAGTCGAATGCTCCAACACTGAACTATACCCCCGCGTCAGCTAACCTTTGCTTTTCGTTCCGAAGGAACGGATACGAAAATGCTTTGATTAGAAATATTTAGAACGGGACAGATCATTTCCGCCTTCAAATTCCTCAAAAAATATTTCTCTTCACTTCCCTGAACAAGGAGACACCTTGGTTTATACCGGGGACTTCTCGATTAGCAGTCGAATGCTCTACTACTGAGCTATAATCTCCGTGTCTGCGAACCTTCACATTGCACTGATGTGTGACGTCACTACTAGTAGGGAGAGATCGTTCTTCGTCTACGGAGCTTCTTTGATGCATTTGTTTGAACACTTTTTGTTATTAAACCAAATTTACTTACAGGAAATTTAAAAAAAAAATTAGTAAATTAATCTTTAAATTTTGTCTTTCATGTACATAAAACATAAGTTTATTACATTAGTTTACTTATTTAAATATCAATTGCAAGTAAATGATTATAGATGTATTTACTACGAACGCATCGCGATAAACATAAACACATTTATTAAAATTGTAGCAAATTATAAGAGCTTTTTGTATTCGTATATTTATTTTTGAAGTTATTCTTTTTGGGCGTTAGAGAAAAAGGACGAGGGTAAATTTTTACGATGCGCACTCACCCCGTCACGGATGCATCGGTGTCGTGAAGGTATACGGACACCGTCACGGATGCGTGCGCATAACTTCAAGACACCAATGCGCATGCGCACACTGTTGTGTAATATTTTAACACGCAACTTTTTTGGTGCTATGGGACTGATATTTGGGGGATCATAATAACTATTGTTATGAACCATATCTGTTGGGACGCATCCCCCCTGTGTATCTCCCCTCTACATCTTTTTGGCCAATGTCTCGCAACCCGAGCCTCGCAGTCCATTAGGACCTGGCTCATTTGATCCCTCTCTATCTGCTCTTTTAGTTATCAAAATTTCATGCTCATAGGGCTACTTCTGCCATAGTTTATAATTGTCTTAAACTTTTTTAATTTGTTTTAATTCACAATATCGTGGCTCCTGTTCGAGTCTCAGACTTGACATTGAACCAAGTGTTCCACTCGTCGAGATACATCCAGTCATCTGCTTTATTTCTATTGTGTAGGCATCGGGAATGTATAAGCAGAAAATATCATGCTCCCATGTTAATCCCTCTAAGGAATTACGCTTGGAACTTTATTTTTGGAAGTCCACCATAATTTCGTATTAGCGCGAGCTTTACGTGGAATTGGCTTCCTCCCCCTACAGGGCTTTACCAGAAATAACTCGAATCCTATGTCTCCTTGGTCAACCACACCGGCTGGATTCGATTGTTCTTCTTATGAGCATCCTAGATAAATTTTTTCAGGACCATAGCCCCATTTCTTTACCTATATTTAACATTTTCAAGTTATTTTAAAGTTATAATCTTTTTTTAATTCTCGCAAGGTAGGTTCCGAAGATTTGTGAGATTCGTAAATGAAACTCGGACCATAGGTTCTCCTCGTTGAGCTGTATCATGTTATAATTCGTGTGCAGATAACGGGCTTAGGGGGGGGAGGCGTTATCACTAAAATTAAAATTCCCATGTTTTTCCTATTGGGTTCGATTATTTGATGACGTAACGATATTACAGAGATAGAAGGATGAAACTTTGGGATCACCTACTACTCTGTGTATCGTTGGGATGTACGGGTACAATTTACGTCACAGTTGTTCCACTCCGGGGGGAATTAATTTCGTTTTCCTTTCCCGAGCTAGCGCCGCCCCATTTGCAACTAAAGACTCCGGTCCGGTTCTAATGGATTCCTCTTGTGTTTGCTCATAACCAGTTTTGAGTTGCTGGGTGGCCTGCTTCTATTTTATTTAATTGTTTTAAATGTTTTAATTATTTTAAAATGACCATAACTCGGGGCTCTTCAGGCGGATGTCTTAATTTTCTCAGGCACGAATCTTCCCGCCGAGACATTCAATATGAGGTCTCAGATGTCACATTCGGCTCACTTCATCTCCAGATACAGCCTGATACCCCCATGTTATTGGTCCTATTGTCCTTGTGTGTGGTTGTTTAAATTTGTTTAAATCATGATTGTCTCAGGTTTGACTGGTCCAATTGACTGAAGGTTAGTATCTTTTAACCCAGCTCGTGACCGCCTTTCACACTTGGCCCAGCTTGCCCTGCTAAGGAATTTTAGAAAGATTTTAATCTTGTTACGCCAAAGAAGTATAACTTCTTACGTGTGTACATAAGTACTCACACACTTTTTTTATAAAGAAAGTTGTTACAATACCTGACATCATCACATGTACAGTTACCACAATTCAACCTATCGATTGCGTGTGAGTATGTATTTACTATGAACTAAGTTGAATATAGAACCTATTCTGAATGGAGACTTTGTGAAGGCGCTCCGTTTGGGTGCCCTTCTCCTAGATTATCAGCGTGAGCTAGAGGTGTAGGAATAAATAAAGAACCAGAAGTTGCCATATCCTAAATATTACTTTATTAAGATCTTAACTTAAACCAATAACAGATTAGATAATAATATGGTATTTGAGAGTATCTACGGTGGCGAAACACAAAATACCGAAATAACGTAACCTGCACCACTATCAATAACTAACTCGACTAAGCTCAATTTCAATGTAAACACTGATCCGAATATTAAAATGGTAACTCCTACCTTAATGTCCAACGAAGCATCAATCTATCTGATCCTAGCTGAAGTTGAGGTTCAGTGGCGTGCAATTGTATGCACCTTGACTAAAGGTCCTCTGTCACGGGTAACCTCTCTTGACTGTCACTTAACGTCTCGAAATACTCTTCACACTTGAAACACGGACGACCATAACACTCCCCAAAAGCCACCCCGCTTACTCTGAATCTCTGTTATTTAAAAGCTTCCTAATTTGCATCTGTCATTCACGTTTTACTCCTTGGGTTGGTTGGAAACAATTGCCATTTATTCTGGCCCCAAAGAACGCAAAAGGACATGTTAATGAGAAAAACGCGCGAGCCCGTCACAACTTAAACTTGTTTTGATTAAAGGGTAAAAAATATAAAACTCGAGCTATTTTCATAATAGGTATATTTTTTAATGCACAAAAAACAAATGTATCGTAATGGCATTGAATGTACAGTGTTTTTGGTTAATCCTTGAGGGGTATAAACAAACAAATGCGATGGTTTGCCAAACCTCGGACTTGCAGCATATAATTGGCCGTGCGAAAAGCAAGGGTTTTCAAAATCTAAGCCACAAATTGTCATTGTTTGACCTTGTGATTTATTAATGGTCATAGCAAATACCAAGCGAATAGGAAATTTCAAACATGTGAATGGGTAGGTGAGTCAGAAAGAATCATTGGGATCTGTAGTAGAAGTACAATTTCACCTTGTAGTTTGCCGCTCAAAATAGTGGCCTCAGGAATATTGCCCACGAATTTTTTATGAACATTCACGCACCCTTACATAATTTTGGCGCATTTTTAACAAATTGTGATATCGGACTGAATTGGGTATCTAAATGATTCTCGAATCCACTTGAACCCACACAAAAAATAATACAAACACTAATTACATCTGAATGTAGTAATTTAATTAACACACGATTTATTTCAAAGAAATAATAACACGAAGTATATCTTTATATGTAAAAATCTTCTGTGCGTGTGTTTGTCACTAAACTCCTCCTAAGCCGCTGGACCGATTTGGATGAAATGTTTTGTGTGGGTTCAGATAAATTTCAGAATGGTTTAGATTCACGATTCGGTCCGATATCGCAATTAGTTAAAAAGATATTAATTAAAAACATTCAAAAAATACAACTCAACATTCACCTGCATTGTTGTAACAACGCTATTGTTATAAAACACACACACACACACACACACACACACACACACACACACACACACACACACACAAGTAATATAAAAAAAATTTTAAATCAATTCTTACTTAGATCAACCAAGAAAAAATTTATTTTAGCTACTTTTTATTAAATAGTCGCAATTAATATAAATATGTATATACATAGGGCAGAATCACAACATTAAGTGGTAATTATTTTTTATTAATTATCATTAAAGTATCGTATTGTCCTCCAAAGCAATCGTGTATATAAAATTTCCTTTCAAATGAATGCTTTAACACGTGAGAAAAAAAAAACTTTTCAAATTTTGACATAAGTCGCCAACGTGGCTGTATTTGTAATTTTTTAAATAATTAGTTTTAATTAATTAATTTTTATTAATTATAATTAAATTATTCTATTGTCATCCAAAATAATCATGTACATTCATTTCAGCTCAATTGAGCACTTTAAAATGTATTTTTTAAACGATTGAAAATTCCACTAAGATAAATAAATAAATAAACAAACAAACAAATAAAATATGTATAGAGATCGTGAGCTAATAGTAGGAATTGAAAAAGACGTAAGTAGGCGTCGAAAATTGATTTTCAGCCAAACTGGCCAAACCCGGTCATTATTGTTACGAAAATGCAGACGATTCACGCTTTGTAGCGTTTTTAATTAATATCTTTTCAAATAATCTTTATATATGTAATTTTTCTCTGCGTGTGTATGTAACTGAACTCCTCCTAAACGGCTGGACCGATTTTGATGACAGTTTTTGTCTGTTCCATTGGACTCGAGAATGGTTTAGATTTATAATTCGGTTTAGAAATGTTTATTTACTTAATTTTTTATTTATAAATTGTTGATCTTGGAATATTTTACATTGGATCCGGCAGACTGCGCTACGATCGCAGTATCGAATATTCAATAATCTTTTATTATAATTCAAGTTGGTCCCGACATTTGGTGCTGTGATCATTTCAGGAAAATATTTTGTCACTTCGTGTTATTATTTTGTTGAAATAAATCGTGTGTTAATTAAATTATTACATTCAGATGTAATTAGTGTTTGAAATTTCAATACTTCGTAAACAGTCCATCGGCTTTTATAACTGCTTCAAGACGCCTTGACATTGACTCAAATAATTTCTTTGTGATTTCTGTGTCAATAGAGTTCCGAACTTCTTGAAGTTTTTATTTTAAGTTCACTTTACTTGTTACATTTTTTTTCCGAACTTCATTCTCCAAATGCATCCCTAAATTTTCTATAGGATTAAGATCTGGAGATTGTGGAGGTGTTTCAAGTGGCCTTGGAGCATAATAAAGAAACCAGGTCTGAGTAACCAAAGCGGTGTGCTTCGGGTGATTGTCTTGT